ACCTATTAATACCATTTTTAAAAAAGCCCTCATCCGAGGACATACTTAATTGATTTTAGAGAGAGAGAGAGAGAGAGAGAGAGAGAGAGATTGAGATGAGAGAGAAACATCTATTGGTTGCCTTCCCATAAGTGCCCTGACTGGGTATCAAACCCAAAACCTTTTGATATATGGGATGACACTCCAACCAACTGAGTCACCTGGCCAGGGCTTAATACCATTTTTTTTTTTTTTTTATTGTTGTTAATTCTCACCAAGGATATTTTTCCATTGATTTTTTAGATAGAGTGGAAGAGAGGGAGGGAGGGAGAGAGAGAGTGACAGTAACATTGATATGAGAGAGACACATTGATTGATTGCCTTCTGCACAACCCCGACCAGGTCTGGGAATCAGACCTGCAACCCAGGTACGTGCTGTTGACCAGGAATCAAGCTTGTGACCCTTCGGTATGCTGGCTGATGCTCTAACTGCTGAGCCAAACCGGCCAGGGCTTAATATCTTTTTTAAAGCAAAAAATATTACAGGTTATGAGGATCAAGAAAGGGCTATTTTCCATTAGGTGCAAGAAAGAAGAGAATTAGTCTCCTAAGATAGATGTGGTTACATACTTGGTGCTCTTCACACATCACCAAATTTTACATAATCTTTTAAAAATGTGGCATCTAGATTATGATCGTTTTCTACTCTCTCTTTCTGGCGCTTCAGTTACGTGTATACTGACCCTTCTCATTCTCTGTCCTTCGACCTCATGTTTTCTCTGTCTCTGTGTCACATTCTATATGAGCAGGTTTCCAGCTGTAGTGTGCTCATGAATCACCTGCATGTCTTGTTAGAGCGCAGGTTCTGATTACTTGGGCCTGGGGCAGGGCTTGAGATTCTGCATATCTGACGAATTTCCAGGTGATGCGGTGCTGCCAGTCTGCAGATTACACTTTGAGAAGCTCGAGTCTATGTGATTTCTTCAGCTCTCATGGCTAGTTCACTGATTTTCTCTTCAGCTGTGTCTAATCTTTTATTTACTGCATCCAGTGAATTTTTAACTTTAAGTTCAGTAATCATACTTTTCATTTTTAAAAGTTCCACTTGGTTCCTTTCAAATGTGCTTGGTCCTTTTTCAGAGTGTTCTGTTCTTTTATTAGAATTCCCACTCATTTTCTTTGATGATAAATTTAAAACATTTTTATGGTCCATTGTAGATTGTTCTTTTGGAGGGCAAATTTTCCCTTTTCTCGGATCTGTTGATGCTTCTTCATGGTAGTTTGGATGGTCTCTTTTTCCTTGTTATGTGTAGCTGTTAGTTTTTACCTTTTTTTATTGTAGACTCATTTCCAGTAGGGATTGTGTGTGTGTGTGTGTGTGTGTGTGTGTCCTGGGTTGTGAAAGTATCCCTACAAATTATTTTCCCTTGTATTGCCAGTACCCTAAGGACTCAGTGGTCCTGGACTGGTATCAATGTTCATTTCTTGCCTTGCAGAAATGTTCATTCCCACACCATGCAGGGTACTGGAAATACAGACACTACCTGGGATTACAGTTTTTTTGTTTTTGTTTTTTAATTTTGAATTCATTTATTTGACACATTAAATTTGGCAAAGGAAAATATACGCCACGGCATAAAAAGAAACAGTCTCATACTACTTGAACACACAGCAGTGTCAAAAATAATAAATTGTGGAATGAATCCCAGCATTAATTATAAAAAGCACCCTGTACAGAAAAACTTCAGACTTCTAACTTCACTGAATCCAGTACTAAACTAAAGTGATTCTTTATACTCCTCAGCTTCTTCTACCTCCTTTTCACTCTCGAATGTCTGCAGAAGATCGTCCAACCTGCGTGGCAATCTGGGATCATCATCCGGGTTCTTGCAGGATCTCTCCCTGCTTTTTAGTGGCATAGTTTTCACCATCGTCAGCTTTTATTTTTTCAATCTTTTCTTCCTGTTGTTTTGCTTCTTTTAAATACATAATTTTTTCTTTGGCCAATCACTTCACCATGCTGGGTTTTTTTTTCCATCCTCACCCGAGGACACTTTTGCATTTATCTTCAGATAGAGCGGGAAGGAGAGAGGGAGGAAGAGAGAGACAGAAACATCAATGTAAGAGAGACACACTGAGTGGCTGCCACCCACACGACCCCAACTGGTGCCGGGGACAAACTGCAACCTAGGTATGTGCCCTTGGCGGGAACCAAACCCAGGACTCTCTGGTCCGCGGGCCGATGCTCTAACTGCTGAGCCAAACCGGCCAGGGCATGACGGTTTTTATCTTGATTTGCCTCACGCGAGGGTGGGCCATGGTCCCTCGAGTGCCGTGGGAAGGAGGGGCGGAGAGCCGGAGTAACCGTGCAGCGAGAGCACTCGGATTACAGTTTTAATAGCCACCCTGTCTGTTTCTTTCCCCCCGAAGGGCCCTGGTCAAGAGTGAGCATCCTCATCACTTTCAGTCCCCAATCCCCCTACTTCTCCTTGGCTTGAGGCTGTGGCTCTTTTCCCTGCCTACATGTGATTCTTAGAAACTCTTTTCAGAGGTTACTGTTGAACTCCATTGACTACCTGTCTGGAGGTTTACATCCCTAGCTTTTCATCTGTCCTGTGAATATCTCACCTGGTATATCAGCTGGTATATTTCATGTTGACTTATTTTTATTGAAGCGTATGTGACCCTTTTCTAAAAATCTTGACCACGTGGGCTAGCTTTGAGCATGATGGAGTTTTACAGAGGAATCTTATTTTATAGTATGGAATTTCTAAATTATTTCACAGAGGGTGGCTCCTTCCCCTATATCAATCATACTCCTCACTCAGAAATGGAATTCTATTTTAGTCTTCAAAAGATAGATTCGTATATAGTGGAAAGGGGATTGAACCTCTGTTAGGAATCAGATTATATAATATGAGTCCCACAAACATCCACGCGAATGGGTTGGTGTCTTGTGTGAGAAAAAAGAGCAGTCAGTGTGGGTCCCACTGTATCTCACTAGACTTCAGTAACTGCGGCGTCTGTCCTAAACATGCATCTCACGAGCAGCCACGGTGGTGGAGGGCAAGCTTTATGTAGTGTTTACTGTATGCGGAGAACCGTGCAGGCACTTCATACAGACTTTCTTCACGGAAACCTCCCAACAGCCCTTGGAGGAAGTTATCTCTATTGAAAGTGAGGTCACAGAGCTGTGAAGTGATAACGCTTGAATCCACTCAGATTCCAAAGTGGGTGCCATTCACCATGATGCTTGCATGTTATCATCTGCAAATCTCTCTGCATACATTCCCTGTCTTTATCTGAGTTTCCGTATTTTAGGTTGGAAAACTCTTTTTGATTCTCCTGAAATGTAATTGTATTAATTTTTTTTTGTTGTTTAAAAAAGGTACTGGGTAATTGAAATCAGATTGGATTTGAGGCTGTGTTGGTGGAAGCACACATGGGATGTAGGCTGAAGCATTCGATATAATTTTTCTTTCCACCAGCTAATTTTTAAAGTATTCAGCTAGTAGATTTCGATACTAATGGGGAAGATTTAAACTCCCTTGAGAGCTTGGAGGTGTTAAACAATTTCCTGGCAGTGCACCGTTTACATTTTCAATCTCCCACCTCATCTCAATGCACCTGAAGCTCTGAGAATGCTCTTTTGCACTTCCTGGGAACAGCTGGACCCCCTTATTCTGGCTTCCTCTCCTCCCTTCTCCACATCCCTCCACCGCTTCACTGACTTCCAGTGCTGCCTCAGTGTTGTTGTCATTGGGGAGCAGCCAGAGTATTTGGAGTCTGTAAGCAGAAAACAGACTACTGCTCAGATCGGGCACCCGGCTTCGTCCAGGAAACAAGGAGTTAAAAGAGAAGTCTGGACTGTGAAGGGCTGTGACAACTGTCCTAGGGGGCGCTGTAGCGAGCTCCGGCAGTGACTCATGCTGCCCTGTCACTCAGATCAGTACTGGCCCCTGGCACGCAGGCGGCCAGGTGGGGTTACAGCCAGAGCACGCAGAGTGGGGAGCATGAAGCCTGCACTGCGGGGGATGTGATGCCCAGCTCGCCAACTCGCTGGGCCGGGCTGCCACAGACGCTTCAGCCTGCAGCCATGGTAACGCTTCTGTCCGGCTACACCCCTGGGAGCCCACCACCATGGGCAGCCTGCTGGTGACGGATGGATGAGTTTCCACCTCCCTGACTGAGAGAGTTTAGTAGGTCTGCAGCAAGTGGAGAAAGATGTAAGATGCCCATAGCCGGGAGTCATGCCTTAACGAGGTAGGACACCAACGTCCTTCGGTGCATTCACGCCGTCAGCGCGCAGGGGTGCTGTAAATCACTGGGAAGAACTTTATTTGGCTGGTGTTTCATTATGCTGATTAAACTGCGGTGGATTCAGGGGCCATGCTTGAGCTGGGAGAGGGGATCATGAACTAAAACAAAAGTGGTTAATAAGAGCTCTGTGTATACTCATCTGGATATGAATGAGCTAGACTGCAGTGCTATCCTGACATGAGTTACATACCTCCCAAATCCGCGTTCCTGTTCCTTCCTCTCATTCTGCTCAGTCCACGAAACGTAGAAATCCCATCTCATTTCAACGATTAGCACTAAATATTAATCATGCAGACCTGTCTGGAAGAGGAAATGAATCGGTTTAGGTCATTGGGCATGCTGGCCCCTGCCCGCTGACGCTCTATCAGCTTTCTGGAAATATCAGCGATGAGCAACGAGCGGCTTGCTCACAGGGGTTCCCCAAGAGCTTTCTTTCCACCAAGTGACCTGTTTGAGTTTATGCTTCAGTTGATCCCAGCGGGGAAGGCAGCCTGTCTGCGGGTGGGTGGCCATGTTGGCAGAGAAGGGGTTAATCTCTTGTTGCTGCCGAGCGGCTGGGGCTGCCTGTGCGAGCGAGCCGAGCTGGATTGAAAGCAGGCGCTGCAGTGCCATCGCAAACGCTGAGGAGCGGGGCTTTCTCCGCAACAGTGTTCAGTCGGCTGAATTTTTCTCCCCCCTTCTTCTTGTTTTTCTTTAACCAGCTCCTCCCCCCTTCGTTCCCACCCTCAAGTCTGATGATGACACCTCCAATTTTGATGAACCAGAGAAGAATTCGTGGGTTTCGTCCTCTCCGTGCCAGCTGAACCCCTCAGGCTTCTCCGGCGAAGAACTGCCGTTTGTGGGGTTTTCCTATAGCAAGGCACTGGGGATTCTCGGTAGACCTGAGTAAGTGAGAATTTGACTTTCTAAGGGACCTGCATTGATGCAAGGCGTACAGAGCCCAGAGGTGGCGGTGGGGTGGTGGTGGGGTGGGGGGAGTGCGGTGGAGGGAAGCTGTTAACCAGCCTGCATTGGGAAAGCAGTTTACCTGTTTGGGCTCTGGAGGGGTGGGCTGTTAATGTTCTCATCTGGCTCTGTTTAAGGTACCTCTTCCTGTCTGCAGCAGCATCATTGTCAGTCGGGTACTTTGCGTTAGTTTTCCGGTCTTTGGTCTTCTTTAGAGGGGAGGGGATAGTGGGAATATCTAGCCGTGCAGATTCTTGGTGGAAGGAGAAATGTGCAGGGTTAAGATGCGCTGTCTGTCCATCTATGCATCTGTCCACCTGGGTGCCCATCTCTCTCTTAGATGGGTGGATGGAGGTGGCTGTCTTGGCTGTATTGAAAAAAACCTAAAAACTGTCTCAAGGTTTCCTGATGGGTTTAGCTAGCTGAGCTTCAAGTGGCTGCACCGGAGCTCGTGGAGAGATGGTGCTCAGCTCCGCTCGCAGTCTGCCGAGAGATCAGGGCGCTGGCAGCCAGAGGAAGCCCGTTACCGTGAGCCACCGGGAGGGAGTGTGATGTAGCCGAGTCACTGATGCCCAGAAACTGGGCTTCACAGTGGGGAAAGAACCAAACAAACCCGGAGACTAGAAAATGGAAGTGTTAATATCATGGTCAACCTCTTGACATGAGAGATCTATCTTCATTCTTGAAAAAGCTAATGAAAAACACGTTAGCCTGGCACTTGGGACTGGAGAGTCCTGGCTTCCAGGCTCCTGGAATCTGGCTAAAATGCAGTGGCCTCTCTGGGTGCAGGAATTCAGTGTCTTGCTCCGTTCCCATGATCTGATGACAGCCTGTGTTCAGAGGTGCGAGTTCCCAGGCAGCTGGACCGGCGGCGGTAATGCCCCCGATGCCATGGCTCCCTCACTTGGAGGCTCCCAGGGTGATGGGTTTAGCTGCTACCCACTTAGGAGACGAGCAGAATCTGATTTTCTCATCGGCAGCCTTCTTTCCCAATTTGCTGTGCTTGTAGCTTAGATATTAATTTGAAGGGATGTCATGTTGGTTCTTGGATGGTGTCTCCCCTTGGGTACGATTTTGACAGCAACGTTCCTGAAAAGATTTCAGACTGTTGTGGGGAACGGGGCACTTGACATGAGCTAGGGTTGAGGGCTGTGACTGGATTCGAGACAGGTTTTTATTTAGAAGGGTGCTGAGGGGATCCTTCTTTCCTCCGTGCCTGGGGGCTAGGTTTAAAATTGGGGGTTGGATTTTTTGGTAGTGTTGGCTCTGCCTCTCTGCAACCCCAAGGCGACCTGATGACGGGAGGAGAGGCAGAAAGCTGACTAGCTGTTGAATGCGCCGTCGGAGGGATGTGCAATGACCCAGCAGGGCTGCCAGGCTTGGCTTGGCATCGAAGAGCAGGGCAGAAGTGGAGGCCCGGTGGAAAGGAGGCACGCTGAGTGGGCAGCTTAACCTTGACACACGCCGCACACTGAAGGTCACAAGTCAGACTGCATGGAGGTGTGTGGAGAGTTCCAGTTCTGGTCAGTGGTGGGCTGGCCGGGTCCGAATGGAAGCTGGCTTAGGGCGCCGGTCAGTGGAAAACCGGAGAGGACTCGGAGTTCGAGTCCAGGGGCAAAGGCAGAATAACACAGGGGAGCTTAGGCACGGCAGTTCATTGGAGAAGTGCGTGAGTAACTGCTTGTTTTTCAGGAAGACTGAAATCGCATCCCTCTGCTTCTCACTGAGAGCTCAGTGTCAGGGGCTCCCTGACAGGGCGTCTCTGTGCTAAGGCCCAGGCACCACGAGAAATGTTTGTTGGTTTAATTTACTCGTGATCCTTTCCCCAGATTGTGTTTATATTGCTCACTGTATTCGAAGATGTGCTATCTCACCTTTGGTAGTTCAGAATATATCTCCAGAGCATAAAACGAGCTTCTGTTCATGCCCCAACAGAATGCTTAATAAGATTCTCATAAAATACAAAAATCCAGACAAACAGAACGCTGTATTTCTTATCTGGAAGATGGATCGTAGTACCTGTTTCAGGGGGAACTCGAATGCCTTTTCCTTGCCGATTCGGGGTTGCAGCCAGAAAGGTTTTCTTTCATCTTATGTTTTAAATGTGATCTTGCCTTTGGACGTGGCTAATATGGCCATGGGCAGCCCCTGCGGGTCACACCTGCAACATCATTCTAGAAATTTATTCCACCTGTTGGATGTAGGTGACCCTGGCTGTATTGGATGGTTATTTAGAAATTCAACAGAAGAGATGCACTGATAAAATGACTTAGAATCGCCTGCAGTTTGGTTGATATATGTTTACAAATTTCATTTGGAGGTGGGGGGAGGCATTTTCCTGGGGGTACCACGATCGCCACCAGGGACCTGGCATTTCTTCCCGAGTTTCTGCCCCTTCACCTCCGTTTCCAGCGTCACAGGTTCTTATTTACACACCCTGGTAACCTGTGCCGTTACTCACTCTTCACACCACCGAGGAAAGTGCAGGTGTTGCTCAGCTGCGCCGGGTGAATGGCGTGAAACGCTCGAGGTGGGGCTGAGTGAGCGAGGAATTGTCCCGGAGACTCTGGCAGTGAGGATGGTTCTGATGGTTGTGACTGCTTGTTCGGGTCCCTTTTCAGGCCCCCAGAGGGCATCCGTGTTTCTCGGTTTAAGAAGGCTCTCGATTTCAGCATTCTGTGTCTGAGTCTTAGTGGAAGTTCCTTGCAGCTTGAGTTGGAGGGAGTAGGAGAGTCTACAGAACTAGTTTGGGTTGTCTTTGGGGTGGCATTATGGTGATGTTGGTTGGTGCTGGAGAGTGGGTGAGGATGCCCTTTTTCTTTTTAACCAACAGTCACCCCAACCAGATCCCCAAGCTCTGAATGCCTGGCAGTTCCTGTGAGCTTCGATGGGCTTGTAGCATAGTAACAGCAACCAGTGCGTTGAAGGTTTCAGAATTAAATGGGTCCCAGCTCTCTTCCCTCCCCAGTCAGCCTGGGTTCATTTCTTTAGGTCCCTTCTCCTTCCTCCAAGATCTGAGGTACTGCCCCATTGAAGCTCTTGTTGAAACACTGCGTTTCTGCAAACCTTTAGTATAAACTCTAGAAGGTAAAAGCCCGTTCTTTTCTGTTTTGGGTTAGTTTTACCCAGGCTGGTTTTCTGCTTTTGGAGAAGTTGGAAATCTTAGAGGAGCATGGGCTCTCAGTGAGACGACTCTGGGAGGTCGGTGTCTGGCAGACGGTGTTTAGGAAGGGGGCTCAGGGCCTTCCCTTTCCTTCTGGGTGGATCTGAAAATTTCATCTGGAGCCAGCCATCCAAACACTGGGTGGGGAATCAAGAGTGGCTGGCGTCATCGCTTTCCCGGGGTTCTAGAGAACCGGACTTTGGTACCTCTTCCTTGCTCTCCTGGGCCTCACATCAGTTTCCTCCACAGCAAAGTGGGGCGATGATAATACTTCCACTTAGGGCTTTGGAAGGATTCTATGAAGCATGTAAAGCACTTGATCTAGCGCCTTGCACATGGAAACGTCTCAGTAAGCGTTCCTTTTCATTACTTCTGCTGTTACTAATACACTACTCTATATATGCAGAGTGTCCTGCTTATGCCAGGAGTACTCAGCAGTACTTAAGTCCAAAGTTGTGCCAGACCAGAAACCCAGCTGCCCAGGTCCTGGGAATTTTCGCCAGAGAAGCTCAAATGCCCGGACCAAACCACAAATTAAGATGCCCTTGCCAAATACCTGTAGGTAGAAGGTGGTCGTTGGGTGGAGTGGATGGAGGATGGAATGAGAAGGTCCAGTGTCAGAATGGGTTCCTTTCTGTCCAGCTGTATGTGGGAAACAATCCAGGGAGCACCAAGCACACACCTTTGTTGCAGAGTATCATGGAACCAGCTGAATAACTAACTTCCAGGAGAGTCAGGCAAAATCCAGTGCGGGACATTGCATGGGTAATGCTAGTCCACAGTTCTTGCCAAATCACAGCGATGATCATGGTTGGAATGTCTGTCCATTTCCCCCAGTCCACTGTGGTCGCAAGGGCGGGTCTGGGCCTCCTTCACCCGCTTCTCCTGGAGCACTGGACACAGTACACCCTCATTAAATGTGTGGGGGAACCGAGTTTATAAGCATACTAGTGCAGGGTGAAATATTTGGCTTAGATTTTTAAAAGACGATGATATGGGTGAGTAGAGAGGGACAGAGAGAGAATGTCAGGTGTGCAGAGAGATAACAGGAGCTCATTGTTACAGGGTACCATCTCTGTGCCAGGCTGTGTTCCAAGCACTCGACACAGATTAACTCATTGAAACTGCAGAGCAGTCCACAAGGAAGGTGCCATCATCATCCCCATTTCACACGTCAGGAACCTGGGCCCAGAGAGAGAGACGCTTGCCCAAGGCCACGCAGCTCCGCGTGGCTCAGCGGGGCCTTGAACGCAGGCAGCGTGACTGCAGAATCTCTCAGCCGCGGTGCTGTCCTGCCCAGTGTAAGGGCCACACACAGGAGAAAGGGGACATTTATGTGAGGTCCTCTGGCCCACATGCTCGTCGGGAGTGGAGAAGGACAGGTAGCGGGGCTGGGGCAGGGCATGATGAGAACAACAGGAAGTCTCAACACTAAATGGTTCTGTTTTCAATCTCTGCGAGTTTATTGAGTAGGTGGACTGTGTAGCTCTTGGATTTTCTGAGTTCTTCCACTTCTCATTTAAAGACTCCTACCTTGTAGTGTGTGTGTGTACATAAACGCACGTGCAGATATACTCTCTCCCTGAGCGTTGTTTGCCAGGGTCTAAGTGTGGCGAGGACAGGGAACTAGGTTGACCTTGCTCTCCACCGCACCTGCAGGCTGAGCATATATAAGTTGCTCAATAAGCATTTGGTGAATTGATCCAAATCATTTTTATGGCTGCAGCTCTTCATTTGTTGGGGACTCTATGATCCGTGTCTATTCAAATCTACATTT